CTGATGATATTGAGAGGTTACTCCAACTTGGTTCATTCTCACTTTAGGCACCCCAATCAGACGTGCAATTTGGTCTTTTTAACATAATCCCATACTTTTTGCAGGCTTTGTTCATTTCTTTTTCTTCTTGTTTCTTTTGGTTTCTCTTCTCGCTCATTTCATTCATTTGATCCTCAAATTGCTGATACTCTTTCTTCTCCAGTTTGATCGAGTCGGTTTACTGAAGCTTGTGCATTTGTCACGTATTTCTCGTGTCATGGTTTTCATCTCTTCATTTCATTTATGACCTTCTCTGCATTATTACTCTAGCCAATCCAATTCTTCCACCTTTTTTTTCAAGATTTTTAGTTTCTTTGCACTGGGTACGTAATTCCTCCTTTAGTTCTGAGAAATTTGATGCTGCGCTCCTTTGCCGGGGGAGATGCGCTCTTAATTTTTTGAATTTCCAGCTTTTCTGCCCTGCTTTTCCCCATCTTTGTGGTTTAATCTGCCTCTGGTCTTTGATGATGGTGATGTACTGATGGGGTTTTGTGTAGTGTCCTTCCTGTTTGATAGTTTTCCTTCTAACAGTCAGGACCCTCAGCTGTAGGTCTGTTGGAGATTGCTTGAGGTCCACTCCAGACCCTATTTTGCCTGGGTATTCAGCAGCAGAGGCTGCAGAAGATAGAATATTGCCTGAACAGCGGGTGTACCTGTCTGATTCTTGCTTTGGGAAGCTTCCTCTCAGGGGTGTTACTCCACCCGTGAGGTGTGGGGTGTCAGACTGCCCCTAGTGGGGGGATGTCTCCCAGTTAGGCTGCTCAGGGGTCAGGGACCCCACTTGAGCAGGGGAGTCTGTCCCTTCTCAGAATCTCAACCTCCGTGTTGGGAGATCCACTGCTCTCTTCAAAGCTGTCAGACAGAGTCGTTTGCGTCTACAGAGGTTTCTTGTTTGCGTTTATTATTGCTTACTGTGGCCCTGTCCCAGAGGTGGAGTCCTACAGAGACAGGCAGGTTTCCTTGAGCTGCTGTGAGCTCCACCCAGTTCGAGCTTTTCCCAGCAGCTTTGTTTACCTACTTAAGCCTCAGCAATGGCGGGCGCCCTCCCCCAGCCTCGCTGCTGCCTTGCCGGTAGATCACAGACTGCTGTGCTAGCAACGAGGGAAGGCTCGTGGGTGTGGGACCCTCCCCGGCCAGGTGTGGGGATATGATCTCCTGGTGTGCCTGTTCGCTTAAAGCACAGTATTGGGGTGGGAAGTTACCGATTTTCCAGGTGTTGTGTGTCTCAGTTCCCCCTGGCTAGGAAAAGGGATTCCCTTCCCCCTCGCGCTTCCCAGGTGAGGCAATGCCTCGCTCTGCTTCAGCTCTCGCTGTTCGGGCCTGCAGCAGCTGACCCAGCACCGATCGTCCGACACTCCCCAGTGAGATGAACGCCAGTACCGTCCAGTTGAAAAATGCAGAAATCACCCGTCTTCTGTGTCCGCTGCACCTGGGAGTTTGGAGACTGGAGCTGTTCCTATTCGGCCCATCTTGCTCCGCCCCCCAACTAATTATTTTTAAATGCTTCCTGCCTTTCTCCATGTGATTAGTTTTTTCCCTAGGGTATTTTCTTTCCTCATAATTTTTAACATGCTCTTAATTCATTGAAGATTTAATTTCCCTCTACCATATATGTTTCAGATACTGAGCATTTCTGCATCAACAGTTATCATTTAAAGATGAATGATAAAATAATAGTACCTAGTTACGTCAAGTAGAGTAAACAGGATGGATTGTAATCAGAAAATGATATAATAAAATACAATATATTGAACATCAAAGGGATTATACAAATGATAATCTCAGGTGATATTAAGTTTCTTTTTAGAAATTATCTTCAACTTCATTCGTCTTCTCTTCCAATTTTGCTATTAATAAAATAACTATTCTAATCCTTCCATCTGAGCTCTAGATGCCTTCTCTTTTTGCCTTCTCATGAACTTTGCTCATTTTATTTCTACTCTCCTATCCTGTAATTACAATTTATCCATATCTATCGACATTAGTATTATATTCACATCAAGTTCTAGGAAAGACAAAGCTAATCTACAGTGAAGAAAAATATGCACACTGGTTGCAGGAATTTGGGAGAGGTTTGGTCTATAAATAGATTCAAAAATGGCATAAGGGAACTAGTAGTACAGCTGAAATCCCGTGGGTGATCTTTCAGGCCTGACCCTAGCCAATCACAAAGGCTTGGTCTGGCAGGTCTCATGGGGCAAAGCTACATACCCGACATCAAATTTAGCATATAGCCAATGCATTGCACCAAAAAACTCAGACCCATATGGTCAGCTGTGCCCCGACAAATATCTGCATTCTTATCCCAGGTGCCTTCATTTGGAGGCCCCCTTATCTGAGGTCTTCCTCAAGTACCTCTGCAAACACTTCCTTATGGGGGTAGAAGAAGAGGCAGGGGAACTTTGAGGACCCTTCTCTCCACTCTGACTTAGTACTCCATACATTTTTATTCCTAGCTCTTCCATCTAACCCTCTGCAGACCCCAGCTACAAAAAGCTGCAGGAGACTTTTAGAAAATACACTGCAATGAATGCGATGGAAATAAACTGCCACAAAACACACACACACACACACACACACACAAACTGAGATGCTGCTAACAGCAACAGGAAACACACAGGGAAAGCCTGGCCCTCTCCCCTTCTCCTCCAGCTTCCCAGTTTCCCTTCTGGTCTCAGAAGAATCT